AGGAAGCTGCGCGGCGATTGCGATCCGCGTGAACGACAACGGACGAGGATAGAGAAAATGAAGCGGAAAGGGAATATCGGAAATGAAAGGGGGTGCAAGGGTGTCTTTCCAACTGAAATTAAGAATAATGACCGGTGCTGAGGGTACGGTGAACGTTAATTCAACCCTTTCGCTCGAGTATTAATAAAGAAAGTTTACGCAAGCGGTGAAACGTTTTCGATTAAGGGTTATAACCTCGACCCTTTTATGGGGAGAGCTATCGATATAGAAATCGCGAAGATTAATGCCAGAAAATATGAAACAAGTGCGTGGGTAGTTCAGTAAAGTAATTAAATTACTTGCAGATCCGTTCTACAAGATCTTATATTTTATTTACCATTAATCAAATTGATGAAAGCTGAAATCAATTCTTTCCGAATCAATGAATATATCGTTTTAATATTTATATTCGTATCTTCTGACGATGAGTAAATAAATCAATGAAACAACAGAGTGACAAGATTCTGTTTAAATACGCATTGTTCCTATAGTAAATGAATGTTGTTTGTCATTTTTGGATATTTACAAAAGCTACGTCCTTCATCGTTATTTCCGCGAATTACACATTATCGTAATATACGAATAATTCAACTCTTCTATATTTAACATACATTTGCTAAAATTAATACGCTGATCGTAATGCTTCATACGGCCCACGATAATATATGGATTATTACGTATCAATTCCAATCTCGCGGTTTAATTTGCTATTTTGAATAGTCGATGTAATTTTATTCTCTCTTCGCATTCCTATTATTTAACTAAATTTCATTTATAGCGTTTATTAGAGCTCTATGAATTTCATTATCTTATCAGCGAGTACCGAAAACATTATTAAACGCGAAAAATTTAAATACACGAGTGAAAAAATGTGCCATTAATCGTTCAAAATCGTTCAAATATGGTGTGAAATATATTTCTAATGAAACAAGGGAAATTCGTACGGACGGTAATTCGTTAATTATTAAACGGAGATCAAGTTTTAGGTGAAGCGAGAAAAGGTGAGGTGCAAAGAATCAAAGACACACGATACTGGAAAAAGAAACTTGATCTTACGAACGTGAAAAGCGCTTTCGTCTGTCAAGAGCCGGTCGAAGCTTTGGAACCGAGGACTTGGAACGCTTGGCATTTTATATTAAAATCCTTCCTCTCATGTCAGCCCGGTATCACCCCAGACCCCGTCTTCTTTCACCGTTATTCTCCAACACATCCACCGGCATTACCACCCTCATCCCCTGTGTTGGTACACGTTCGTGTAACCGAAAACTTTTCCAGAAATTCGTCACACTTCGATTCTTCGCGTTCGCTCCCAATTGCACGGAGACTCGTTTGAATTTCACCCTGACTCGTTACTTATATAATATTCCCAAATTATTCAGAAAGAAACTAATGTCGGAACTAAAGAAAATTAGTACTGTATTCAGAAGCAGCCAGCCATCGTCGTTTTCAAAATTATAATACGTATCATTATTCCGCAGCCACATTGTGCATTGTGCAACGCGTTGTGCAGCCAGAAAATGCAAGGTGGAAGAACAAAAACATGTTTTATACGTGGAACATGCTGGGGGAAACCTGGACTACTTGTGGAGAGATGTTTTTAATGGAATTAAAACAATATATGAATAAGCTTTTATGCATTAATGTATACTAACACTGATTATTATTTGCTCATCATTAAAAATATTTATGTTTTCATGTACTTTTTGAATAATATGAAAAATAATGCATCGTATGTAAAACAACGGTCGCCAACATGTCGCTAATCTTGGCTAGAACGTTTCCACGAAGCAAGTTAAATGAGATTTATCGCGGGGGTTGAAAACAATGTGCCATCAGAAGTGGTGAGAGGCTTTTAAACGTTTGCACGGAGGTCGAGACAGATAAACAACTCGAGGCTGTTCGTCAATGAGCCGCGGGTAGGATTCGAAAAGCTCGAAGCTAAACAGCGAAGCGTGCTCGAGAAGCTTACTAGCATCGTTTCTCGCTCGAATGGAAACGGCAGGCAGGGAAATTCAAAAGCGCATGTTTGTCGTCCACTCGGTAACCCTTCTGGAAATTGGCCCGGTGTCACTCGAAAATTTCACGACCCTTTCGTGCGGTATAGCGACCCCGCCACCGAGAGACACATACGGGCAAAATGAAATCAAGCCCTGTTCCTCCTCTTTTGTCCTGCTGAAAGCCACGAAACAGCTATTACCGTATACTTGTTACACGATGCTTGCGCAAGACAAATATAGTCAGCTAATCAAATTCGAGACGAACGAAGGTTGCCATCGAATTATTATCAGCTCTGCACAATTTCGTCGCGTTAACGTTTCAAAGCTTTGAAGAACTTTTATACCGGACGAGTAGAGACGTAAAAGAAATCTATGCACAACTGTTTCTTTTTCAACGGATTTGCATCAATAACGCAAAACTATTCGATTCGATTATTCTCGGTAGGAAAGTGTGACGAGAAGAGCAATGTTGAGAAACTTTGAATGGTCCTCGAAAGCATCTTGGACGGTGAGTGTGAGGAAATGGAACGTGAAAATGAATACTGGATGCGTCTCTATAGTGTCGCTTCTTTGCCATATCTCACGCGAATGTTTCACCTCGCGAAGAAATGCTCCCCGTTCCTCGGGGGCCAGACGAAACTAAAATATTCGCGCCTCGTCGGAACTTTTCTTATTATGCGACGAAATAAAACGCTTACGGTTTATTGAATTCGAAAATGTACGCGTACAGTCGCGATCGAATCAGACTCCTCTAAGGAAAACAACTATATACAAGTCATTTTGTGTAATTCAAACGTTGATATCGAGTTTCTTAGCCGAATTGGAAACTTTACCAACCCTTCGAGCATCGAAGCAAACGATTGAAATAAAATTCTTATCCTGGAATCGTATATCGCGCGAATCCTGCTCTCTTTAGCAATCGCCTGGTTTCCGGCAAGCAGGGATGGCGTAAGGTATATCCGTTGGACAGATTCCAGTACGCGGATACAGCAGCTTTCAGGTCGGAATACCACGATGGTCGCATGCTTGGTATTACCGATATTAGCGTCGCCAGTAACTCTTTCGAAATAGTCTTGGCACGTTCTACGCTTCGATCAGTACACGATTCGCTTCCTACACCTTTCTCGAATCACGCTTCCAAATTCCGCGTATCCGCGCCATTTTTAACGCTTTTCATTATTTATCCTCCTGACATCCTCCTAATCATATTACTCGGTCAAATGTACTTTCGAAACAGACCTCTGTTGGTATTGTTCGTTTCGAACGTCGATATTCTACGAATTTTATGTTCTTTTTTTCGAATTTTCACATGAACAGTGGATCTGAATTTGAATTTTTCTAAGGCGATGAAAGAATTAATTTACTAAAAATAACTGCAATAATATTTTAATATCGTCGTATTTCATGAAAAACGGCTTCGTTTTTCAATTCATACAAGTGAAGACCTCTCAAAGATTTTTTTGTAAAAAGAAATTTATGACCATTAAATGGAAAGCTCAGGCCTGCTTAATTATTCACCCTGTGTGCGTTTACTTACTTTCCTTTCTTTAATTAGAATTCACTCATTTCGACTCGTATTTATGAAATGCAACTAATTAAGGTCACATTAACCTAATTTTAAAGGACTTTCGCTAACAAAGGGGCAGTGATAAACCAAGAGACAGTATGGAACATGAACAATCTCTCGTTCGATTCCCTTCAAAATGAGACACGAAAAAAAAAAAAAAATCCCTATTCTATAGAGCCGATGGTAAAATGGATTTTATACGTCTCCCGAGTCATGAATATTTCACGCATTCGATCGCAATGAAAATCGTCTTGAAGCCGTGTCAAAAATGTAGTCGAGGCAAATCGGAAACGTATTTGATAAAAACTCGATATTTTATTTCCTTCTATTTTTTTTTCTTTTTTTTCGAAACACCTAGGATCAACGTGTCCGTGGAAAACGCATCACGCTTACGCTTTGAAATTTTGCATTTTTATAAATTTTTCCGTCGATCAGGGGGATGCTTTTTTGAATTTCCCTTTACCACGGTATTGGTTGATTGAAATGTCCGTCAAAGCTTGATTTCACGCCTTCCTGGCGTTTCCATCGCATTAATTTTCAACATTTTTCTATTCGTGTACGAAAGGGAAATATAATCGATCATAATGAAAAAAAAAAAAAAAATAAGGAATATCTTGTATCAATTGGAAATACTGAGATTTATGTGAATAAAAGAGAAACGTAAAGTGTTTAATGAAAGGATTGCTGTGTAAACTATTAAAAAATAAAGCTGATCATTCGTCAGTGATATTATTCAATTTGTTGTATAAAGTGTATTAGGTGTTGCAAAAGTTTTTAATGAATACGAATTATCATTGGACCGAAAATGGTTAAATTCCTGTGGTATACAATTAATGATACCCAAGAATTATAATAAAGTACCCTTGCTTTCAATTGCTTTTTAATTACAGCACATATAACTTGAATTATTTCAGCTGAGTTACAGATGGATCAATAATAATCAAAGGTTTATTAATTGGTTCTCAATCAACAACCGATGGTATTGGAAAGCCTATTAACACGTTAAACACCGCAGTGAAAATGGATATATGTTACACGATGCACTATAATTACAATTAATCAAAATACGATCATTTCATTTTCCAATTTAAACTTCCCATTTTCTACCTTACAAAATTATTATAACATTAATGCTACCTCTGTTAAAATTTTCTTTCAATTATTCGATTATGTTTCTAGTTCAACGTGTGAATAGGTTTTTGGTAATTAAAGTGTTAATTCTAGCCATGCAACTTACAAACTAGAATCTACTTGCATTTTTTCGTAGCTTATAAATGAAAAACTATTCTCTTATTCGATGTGAACTAGAACATCCTACCAATTGTTCGCAAAATCACCAATTGAAAAGAGGATTCCATCAAATAAATCACCAATTAAATAAATAATTCGGTACTCACCGACTGCTGAACGTTGATGAGGTTGAACGGTCCACCGGTTTGCAGACGAATTTGTCCTTGTTGATCGATTCCCTCGCAGCACAGAAACACGTTCGGTAACAAAACAAATTCCTCGAAGGGTGTTTTTCATTCGCGGGTCTGGTTCTCGCACTTCGCTTCACATCATAACACTGACACACTGGAAGATTATCAAGAGACGTTTGTTTACATCGCGTTACCTTTGCGTGTTTCTAATGTTACACGAACAGTTATTTAGAAGTAAATTCAAACGAGTTTAAAGAATATTAAATCATCAACACATTCTTCGACATGGAAAATTTTCAAATACGAGGACGTTATTTGAATTATCTACATGAACTTTGTATTGATTTTTAATTATCTAATGCTTGATGACGCGACCAATTAGCTCTATATGAAGGTTTAAGTAATTAGCAAAATAATAATTAAAGAGTTAGAAAAATAAAATTTAACTACAAAGTTTAAACTCTCGATTTTAAATCTATAATGAAATCTAAATTTGAAATTGGAATTAAATCAAGATTTAAGCTGTAATGAGTTGAAAACAGAAAAGAAAGTGATTTTACAAATCTATTCATTGAACCACATTTATACTCCATAATTAGATTATATACAAAAGAACACACTAGCTAGCCCGATTCCAATTATTTATACAAACTAAAATAAATGAAACTTCATTAATAATAACAGAAGCTTGTTTTATAAAGCTTCGAATAGAATCAGTTCTACAGTTATGCCGTAGCGAAACAAAGCAAAGGAAGAACAAACAAGCTCCAGGTCCAGCTCAACATTTTTTTTTTTTACGCTTTTCGTGTTCTGCACCCACGCGTCGCAACACGTTCACGGTCTCGTTAATTCACGTACATTCTGCAGGTTATTTTTCGTGACAATTCGAAGCGTTAACGCCCAGAAACGCGTTTATTACGTGGCTTTATTAATTGCAATGGTTAAGGAAAAATAAACCGGAACGGTCAAATAGACATGAATATTTTAAAATTTAAAATGGAAAAATTCATGATACGAAATATCCTGCTGCTTTCGTTACAATTTTAATTGCAAATTTTCATCGTTTCATCGAATGACTCATCTTAATCGAACAGAGAACGTTATTTTAATTAAAGTGGCTTTTTATCGAACAATGTTATCTCATCGCGACGACACGTTAATCAACCGATTTAATTGCAAATTAGCTGTGAAATTGCATATCCGAGGGTATCTCGTATTTTTCTTTTATTTAAATATATGCTACTACAGGGAACAACATTGCTTCCTTTCGCAAAGAATTCAGAAAGAAGATATTCGTTTAAAATTTTTAAATATTTGCACATAGGAATGAATATTCAAACGTATTACATTAGCATTATTTGCACGGAACATCTCTGAACAAAGAATTTCGTTCTCAAGAATTGTAACTCTAAAATCGTAAAAGAATAATGAGAACAGTATGAAAAAAAAAATGATACCGGATTAACGTAGGGACTTCTAAAAAGAAGATTAAAATTATTTTCAATTTTAATGATGTATTCAGTTTGGATGATAAATCGTAAAACAAAGCAAACCCAACGAAAAGGTGATAGGAGGGACGTTCGAAAATAACGAGCAAAGATTAATTAAAATGAACTTTCACGTGCGTCGTTTGAACTACATGGCTGCTTTGTGCGTCACGCTATGCGTAGAGTTGCATCACTGAAAAAAGCGCTTGCTGGCTCGACTTGTCACACGTAACGCATCACCTTTAATTAACGTGATTTTTTTTTCTTTCACGAGTATGCTTACAATACACAAAGGCTCGCGTTGGAATCTAACTAAAACCAATTCGTACCCTATGTACCAGTGTTTCACACTCAACACGTGATCCTCAAAATACGTTGACCGCTAGCGGTTAACCTAACTTTTGCCCCCGACCGCTGACCGAACCACACTATTCTACGCGAGAAAAGCCTTGAAAAATACCTTTTGTCGTTTGAATGCACTTCTCTTATCCTTATCCTTTTTGTCATTCACATCTACCTCGATGCATTAAACTGTACGAATCCCACTGGTAAGATAGAATCGGAGTACTTGAAATTCGTCGAACTTTGTCACTGTTCAATTCCAATAACGTTTCGAGCCACGCGTCACATTCGGAGCGTCTCCTTGCAACCACGCAATATGCACTTGTATCACACTTGTATCTGTCGAGGAACGATCGATTGCACCCTGGATCGTTAACCCGAAAAACGATTAATTAACGTGGGATAACACGCGATACACGTCGAACGGCGAGCACACACGACAAATGGCGCGCCGATCGCGCGCACCGGGCGCTGAACTACGAATGAACGTAAGCGCCACGACCGAAAGTTCGCGAGCCCCACCGCCCTTTCGGCGCTTGCGAAGTTACGCGCGAAGCCGACCGATCGCCACCGAACACCACCGAACACGCACGAAGATCGATGGGGACGGGGTTCGCGGTGTCGCTACAAGATAATTAATCGCTGGAAATATAATGCTCAATCGTGGCTTTAACATCGCTACTTCTGTTTTATAAAACTCGTTTGCCTCGGACGTGCTTATAAAAGGATCCTCTGGTATTATGTCGATCGTCCGATACCTTTTTTTGCGCTAACCGCAATGGCGTTAATAAAAGTTTTTCCTACCCTTCCAACAGCTTCGTTCGCTTTTCTACCTTTCCCAACCCAGCATGTCATATTCTACTTAAACGTTCTTCTTACACGGAAACGATTTGAAAGATTACGATAAAACATCGATTGTTTGAAACAGTGGAGATGAATTGTTTTTACCCATTGCTATTTTCTGCAATCGGTTTCGAAGAATGAAATTTATACCTTTGCTTTCTGTAAATAATTCATAGACTTTGATTTTTTTTTTTTTTTGTACTATTTCCGGTTCTTTTTTCATTAGTTTTTGTTTTAGATAGAAAATAAACGGGATAAAGATAACAGAAAATCATGAAACAATGAAAGGTCGATAGAAATTCACAGCCAGTATTTTTGGTTTCAAAAAAAGTATGAGAAAAAACTTGAAATAAACGTTGAAAACAGAGTATGGCTTCTTCCGATCGCTTTCTGTTTTCATTCAGAATAAAGTAGCAAATTGGGCGATGATATTTTATCGTTGTATAAAATTCATTGACGCTTGTTCTACCAACGAATTTAAGTATCATCGACGATGAAACCAGAGAAAGATTGCTGTTGAAATTTAATGAAAAATTATTCATTCGAATTTTCTGTTGAATTTTAATATTCACCCTATGCTTGCAATGGCAAATGAAAGCTGGTCTGCTGATGCGACATCAACCAGGCAAAGTGTGAAAAGCAAAACGCAATTTACTGAAATATGAGGGGTAACCCAACCTACCATCTCTTTTAACTTTTTCCGAAATACCTTTCGTAACGAAAGAGAACGACAGTGGGGTGCTTGACTGCGACACAAGCTTTTCATATTATGAAAGCGAAAATGTACATGTTAAAGGATTATCGATAACGATTAAAGCGCAAATTACAGGGAAACGCTTTTAAACGCTGAAAGTTATGAAGCACACGGTGAAAAATGTTGATATAATGAGATGGATGGTCCTTTGATGAGGCAGATTTTAAATTATTGTATAAAAATACCATCGTACTATTTTGTAACTGAATAAATTCTCTACAGTGTTATTTTAAATATATTGCAACTGTTGAATGGAATAAAAAATTATTGTTACACAGAACTTTTCAGTAATTTTAACTAACCCTTGACAATAATTATATAAACTAATCGACAAAATACTGTAGTAGTAAAACCATCAACTTGATTCACAGTGAAACTTCTTGCTGTTGTATTTATCACCTTTAAGCACATGCACAAAATGTGTTACATTAGTGTATTTAGTATTTATGATGATTAAATTTCTCTTTAGTTCAGAGTACAACAGTATTACAACTCGAAGGAAACTGTAACAATCAGAATAACAAATAACAACGTCGCTTTTCCCCCAACCTCAGATCCTATCACTTCCTCTTATTAACTAAGATTAAAAATAGCCTTAAAGGTCGTCATTTTCCAACAATCGGAAAGAATCGGAAGATCGTGACCGAGCAAATGAATCCACTAAAGAACGAAGACTTTCAGCGTTGCTCCGAGGAATGAGTAAAACGTCTCCATCAGTGTAACTGTTCTCAGAGGAACTATTTTCAAGGAAATCATTTTCATTCAGTTGTAACTTTAAATTAATACAGCCATGGATTTTTTTATCTAGAAAACTTCTTCACTACTCGACTATAACAAGCTTTAACAAAAATCTGACGCAGAAAGCTCTTTTCAAATAATCCCATCGACAGATGAAGAGAATCAATCGAGGCAACAAACGTACGCGTAGTAACGAGAAGGAATGATGTCACAGAAAATAGCGGGGAATGGAACGCGTGAAAAACGAGTTGGACAGAGGTTTTGACAGAGGCACGAATCGACAGCAGATGCGTTCTTCAGCGGTCGGATGATTAAATACCGGCTAGCCGTGGAGGCTTTGATCCCTCCAATCAGCTCACTGTACCACGTTCGAGTAAGCTACGCGACCTTTGTACACTTCAAAGTCCTCCGGTTCTGGACGTTCATAGAACGACCTGGAACGAACGGACACTGAATGTTTAATGTCCAGACACCTGTGCGTTCAACCTCCGCGACACTCCATTTTTTCTTTCCATCCATCGCTGCTTTGAAGTCTGCAATTTATTTAATTAACAGACAACCTGACCGCTAATTATACGCACTTTGTACTTGCAGTTTGTTCGCACTCATCTCTGCCAGTCTGGATGACTTAATCAAACGATATCGATACCAGCAATCAAAAAAAATAATTAATGGAACAAGTTGATCTTTGTTTTTTTGATAGTTGAAATAATTACTACGAAAAGCGTGCTACTCTTGAGTCAAGTAATTATGCATTGGCAGAATTAATATTAAATTGAATGATGTTTAAGATAGGTGCACAGTGATGCGAAGAAGAAGATGTCTGATCTGATGAAATATTTTTCACCTAACCCTGTCTCTAACCTGTACCTGATGCATCGAAGAGGATCAGAAGGCTCTTGTGTGCCAGCATCACCTAGAGTAAATATTTGACAAGTAACTCCGCTATCGTGGCAATACTGGCCCTGATGAGGGCTGCTCAACCCCGCCTTCGATGTTTCGCCTTCATCTCGTGAAACGTTGTTGTGTCACTTTGCAGAATCAAAGTTCTTCGAAAAAAAAAAGAACATGCTGATTCGTTCGCAAATGCAAAGCTCGTGGAAACGAACTTTCAGTTTGGATTTACATGAAATATTTAATGAAACCTTGCAGGATTGATTTAACGAAAACCGTGATCAGTTGCTTAATTATTACGGGTCAGTAATTATATCGTAACACGATTCAAACAAAAGCCTAATTAGGAGAATATCGCATCGCGATAATTACACAGTAATTAAGTAATAATGAGAAAAATAAATAAATGTTTTAATTGTTCCCGGTTACAATAAATCAAGTTGTTAGGTTCACGTAGGATAATTAGAGAGCGATAATGGACTGTTTCCCAATCTAATTGTTTACATTCTGTTACAATTATACTCATGTTACACCGGACCAGTGGAGAATGGTATGTTGTTGACTACAACTGCGTAATCGTAAATAATTGATGAAGCAGTAAGAGTTAACAAGCTGTTGCATGTTGGAAATGCAAATGAAAGGCAATAGCTGGGTCAATGGTGACCCAGTCTTACGGAACATGTACAACGTCTACTATAAATAGATATTGTAGGTATTATAGATGAAACTATCTAATTCGTAAGAGTATTTTCGGATATTCGGTTTAAAGGCAACACCACTGCCGCACGATTATGAGCCTTGCGGGAGAAACAGATGTAAATGCTCCAATTAACTTGCGAATCTGTGGTGAATACTAAAGTGCGAGAACCAAAGGCCGTGCGTGGCAGCAGTAAACTTGCGGAAATCGGATCCCGATTGCAAGGATACGCTCATAATTAATTGATATCGTCTTTTGAGCGATGCCATCGGTACACGATATCGGTAAAATCTCATTACCGTACCGCTGATGGCGTAGACTCTTTGCTACCAAATGTCAACGGAAACAGATCACGTAAATAAATACTGTTGCAACAGTTCTAAAAGATTTTAAACAATTCCAAATTTAACAGTTTCAACATATTTGAACCATCGCGTAAACTAGCTGCGGTTTGTACAAAGTTGTACCGGACAGTTGGTTATTAGTCAAAAAAAGGTCAGACCGCAAAGGGTTAAATTCCTCCCAGCGTATCGTTTCCGTTGAAAATGCGTGCCAATTAAGCGAACAACGATTCCAACGAAGATCGATGGATTTAAAGGAAAGCGTTTCAAATTTCATCCCTACAAAACTATCCAACGCCAGTGTACAATACCATTCAAAAGTCTTCGAATATTTATGGATATTTCTAGATTGTAAAACCGTATTTTATAGATATTTAAAAAAATTTACATCAAAGTTTTTCTTTTTTAAAAAAAATTAATTTCCCTAGATGTGATATTTTTTCAACTAGCCAAGATGATCAGTCCCCTTAAAAAGGAAGATGTTCCAGGAACTATGTAAATCACCCTCTTGCATAAAACTTCCAAGTTTCATTAAATATACCCTATTCTAAGACTTTTGAGGGGTAGTGTACATTTAGCATTTAGAAGATGAGCTTTACACACGGAGAACAGTGAAGGATACTGGTAGTCGGGGGTCGTTAAGGGGATGGTGGTGGCAGCACGGGGTTACCCTGGCCGGTTCCCCCTGACAGAGAAGCAGACTATTCGGGGAGGGTTCGTATGGCCCTAGGGGTTAATAGATGGCCGATGTCCCCGCACCAGGGTCAGACACTGTGTCACCTTCCACGTTCGTCATTACGAATGCAGATTGGACCTCCCGCCATTACCCTGGCGCCTATCTAATCGTCGTCGAGGCTGGCCACGAAACTTCTCGTCTCGACGGAAAATTGCCCATTGTGTCCGAGCACCGGCTGCTCTTTTCGCGCTTTCCATCGGCAACCAGACAATGTTAACCTACGACACCGAAAAAAGTCGAACTTCTGGCGCCCTGAATCGAACGCTATGTTTCTGGATTCTCCAGGAGCCCAGAGACGCCGAATGAGTTCAGCTGCATCGAGAAATTCACAGTAGAAAATACCATTAATTTTACCAGCTCATTATTTCCTCATATTACATATGCCACAGCGACACGAAAGAGATTTTGCTTTGTTATTTAACAACATGTCGAATTTTGATTGGATGGAAAATTAGTTGGAAGA